CAAAGTAAAAACATGTAACCGTTTAAGGAAATCAGACGCACTTGGACCGCCTTGAGGAACCCAAACAAGCCGTAAGAAGTCTACAGGTGATTTCATTTATAGCAGCGTTGTGATTATTGTCCTGATTCTTACCGTAGCTTGTGCTGTTATATTCATGTAAGAATGATTGCTCCTGACATCGCCATTGCTTCACGAGTATTTATATGGTTGACAAATTTTCGCAATGCTTACTAGAGTTGTTTGTAATTGTCATGGTGGTTATTGCTCTTGCTTTTGCTCTTGCTGTGGCCATTGCTGTTGCTATTCATGCTATAGCTGCAATGGTCGTCATTTTTTCCGCATGCCGATTGTCATCATGAGTTGATTGTTGCTGTCGTGACTTTGGTTTGCTGTGCTAGTTGTAGTAGGCCTTTCGTCATTCCCTTTTCTTCTTTATTTCCAGGCCAGTATTCTATTGTTCTTCCTCGTCCATGTTTGGCACTGTGGGGGTTTAGGGGGACGGCACCACTGCCAATCCTCCCTGTGATTCTTTGTAACACAGCAGACAAACACAGTACTTGGCCAACCCGACAACATTAATCAAGAGCCTGTACGGTCTCATCCTTGTCCATGTTGCGGAATTGGGGGCCCAACCCCCTGATAAACCCTCTACTTCACAGGAGCAAGACAGCGCTCTGCAAATTGCACCATGCTTGGCAATCAATTACATGTTCTCATCTTTGTCGATGTTGTGCAAGTGGGGCACGCTCCTGCCCCCAAATCCCCTCCAATGCCTAGCCACTCACTCCTGTTTAAGATCCAACCAAAATTCACAGTTTCTTATCTTCATCCACGTTTTGCAGCGCAATGATCACGGTCATTACTGCGATCATTATTACCATTGCCATTTTCCTGTCAGCATTTCAGCCAGTGTTACCACCGTGATTCGCACCGCTGCCAAAAGATTATTTTTACTGTTTTTATTCTGGTTGGACACTGTCGTTGTATTCGAACGAGTTGTAGTGATTACTGTCCGTTTAGTACGGTGATTTTTTGCTGTTGAAAATACTCTTTGCTAGAGCTACTCCCAGGGGTCGCAGCGAAGTTTTTTATTGCTGCCAGTACTTTTCGTTGTTTGAAGTGCTACTGCTACTGCTATTATCATTCTGACTACCAGATCCTGATTACCAGTAGAAGTAAGGTTTTAAGCACAAACCATATTGACAGCTCTAAACAGCAAAATCATAGTCACCATCAAGCTGTTACTTGTAGTTTGGTAATAAATGAATACTGCAGAGAGAGTGGTCATTTTGAAAAAACATTGCTCTTACTGAGAACACCTGTATAAGAAAAAATGTGATGCGGGTAGTTGTCAGAAAACACTGTCATTAGCAAAGACCAAAATTGTTACCATCACTACTCCTACTTGTATTGCCATCATCATCATCATCACAATTCATCCTGTCTTTTGCCAGTATCAACAGGGGATCATTTTCATTATGACGATTTTCTTATCTTCATTGCCGTTCGTACATTTATTACCGTTTTTGGTTGGGTTATCAATGCTAGTACCGCATACAGTCCCTTTACGTGCCTGCGTGACTGTCTACAAGCAGTAGTTCCCTGGCATCACACGATATTCATGAAGCACAGCAATCGTGGTCTGGACTTCTTGTATTTGCACGAACAGGAGGGCATGCAGATCATGCACTCGGACACGGCAGATCTTGTAGAAGCCATCGCTTGGCAAGTAGGCTGGTTTCAACTGGGGCATCCCGTGTTTGCACTTTCCATCAGTGTCTGTGATGACGTGTATGACAGCTGTGTCTGTGACATTCCTCGTCTCGTTTGCAATATCTGGCGGCGCTACGAAGTTCTGGTGCAGATCACGGTAGTTCCTACTAGCTGGGTCCATCAGATTGAGTCCTTGTTTTGATTTCCCGCCCAAAAGGCCTTAAGTGCCACCCGTGCCTAAGGCATCCCCGTAATGACTAGCCGTGTTGTGTCAGCAGTACACAGTGGCTGGTAGTTTCATTGTGCCGGCAGTCCCGAAAGTCCGTGCCTCAAAAAATGCTAGTACCACTACTACGTTTACTTCGATTATTGCTGCTATCGTTGTTGTTCTTTTTCATTCTTATCCGTTGCGCTCTCGCATGGAGTGTCCTTATGCTTTGGTTCGAATTGAAGCTCTCGCGTGGAGTGTCCTGATAATATTTCGCTCGACAAGCAGCTTTTGGGTGGACCGTCCTCAAATTTTGGCTCATGAGCTCTGGCGGGGAGTCTTCTCGTATTTTTAACACCAAATTTGAGCTCTTGCGGCGAGTGTTCATTGGGGTGGAGCGTCCTCACATTTCCAGCCTCCCCCAAACCCCCGGGCCAAAAAGGGAAACAACAACACCTCCAAAATAACAAGTTCAAACAAGGTATTCAGGATGTGGCTCAGGGTCAGGATCCTCGTAACTGTTGTCGCTTTTGGGCCTTTGGATCCTCTTTCAGTTTGAAAAGTGTCAACAGTCACAGGAATTGTGTGGCTCAGGGTCAGGATCCTTGTAACTGTCGTTTTTGGACCCTTGGATTCTCTTGAAGTTTGAAAATTGAAAAGTGTAAACCGTCACAGGGATCGTGGGGGTCGGGGTTGGGATCTTCGTATTGGGTGGTCGGGCTATCTCACTTCGGCTGGTTTTTTTGCACGTCGAGCTCCGTCCACACTGGGGGACCCAGTTCAAAAGCATTGACCAGAATAGATGTCATTCAAAAGGCCAATATTTGGGAATTGTACTGTTTCCGCAGCGTCCACATGGTTTCAGCTTACGATGCGGCATGTTTATATGGCATCGCTGTATGTGTCGAGCAGCGTCCACACTGAAAAACCCAGTTGAAAAGCATTCAGTAGAGCAGATGTCATGCTGTTGCCACAGCGTCCACAGGGTTTCAGCTCATGATGCGGCATGTTTGTATGGCATCTCTTTATTTGTTGAGCAGCGCGTATACATGTGTAAGACCGGCGTCCACCAGCGTCTAAATGGGGAATCATACCAAATGTAAGCCCTGAATCCTGTGATTTTATTCTCAAACCCCAGCATCCGCAGCAGAATGGGAAATCTGCCCTTACGTTGGTTTGCCCTGGAATCAGCGTCTACATGGGGATTAGCAGTTTCTGAGGTGTAGATATCCCGCTGAAGTGGAATCATTCCAATGCCAGCGTCCGCAGTAGATGACGTGTATTCTCACCGAATGGGGTGTGTTAACCCCAGCACCTGTTACCCCCAGCGCCTGTAACTGTCACCGCTTTTTTACACTCGGAGCCTGAGAGAGCGAGAGAGCAAGAAAGAAAGTAACCAGCACAGCAAGAAAGAAAGTAAGGCACATTGCCAGATCTAAAGTGGCGGAACAAAGCCCATGTTCTACTTTTTGCCGTTGGGGGGGGGCTGCGCCCCCGCACCCCCCCGCCCCCGCTATAACCTCACAAAGTACATTCGTGCAAGCATTTGTCATGATTTTCACTTTTTCATGGTTTCTTGAACTAGTATGCATAATTTCCATTATTTCTTAGATTCTCCACCATTTTTCATGAATTTGATGATTTTCATGTTTTTTCATGATTTACCATCATGTGTCATCAACTTCATCATTTTCATCTGCTTCATCATTTTCATATTTTCAATAGTTGTCAAAGTTTTCTTCCCTTTTTCATGATTTTTCATCATCTTCATGAGTTTCATGATATGTCATTATTTTCATCAGTTCATGATTTTTCATCGTTTTTCTTCTTTTTGATCATATTTCAACAGCCTCCATTCATTTCAACCATTTTCATGATGTTAATCATGTTTCCATGATTTTCCATCAGTTTTCCATTATTTTGCATCATTTTTCGTCATTCTTTTTGATTTTGATGAATTTCCATCATTTCCATAATGTTTCATCATTGTTCATCATTTTCTCATCATTTTCATGAATGCTGATCTTCTTCATGATTTCCAGCATTTTTCATAATTTTCATTTATTTCCGCGACTTTTCATCATATTTTCACGATTTTCACGTTTTGTCATGACTTGTCAAGGGTTGTTTTCGTCGTTTTTATGTTTTGTCGTGGCTGTTCATGATTAATATTTTCTTGATCCTTACTTAATGTTTTTTTTGATCCTCGATTCTACCAGTTACAGTATTCAGACTCAGATAATCATCAATTTTAGTTTCTGCTTGATGCTTGTTCAAATTTTCTTTTGATCGCCCGAAATTTTCTTTTTGACAGTGATCACCCTTGTCTGTGGAGCCTTGCGCTCGGCATGTGTTATGGAGAAGCTAACCCTTGCAACGTAAGACGGAAGACGTGCAAAAGGTTTCACCGTCAGGTTCTTTCAGGCTCTGACCAGTGTGTCCAGGGCAACCCGCAGAAAATGTCATAACTCCAAAGGTTCCAAGCCCATTAGCGCTAGCCGTTAGCTACATCAGTAGCTTAGGTGAAGGAGCTCAACGGTGACAAGAAAACAGCCAGCATCAAGACCATGTTTTTCAACAACATGGACGAGATCGGTTTT